ATTTGTCGCTAAACGAGCAGATCTTCGCAACGCGGACTGTTTCCGCGGATGATAACCGCATGAACAAGTTGCAGAAGCAAGTTCATTATCACCGATGGTCCGGCCATTTGCATATTGCGTTGATACGCGCTGCATGTAGAATCGTAGCTGGAATACAGCGAAATTTAACCACCGCCGACGGGGGACTTTAGGGAGGCTCATTAAAGAACGCTTACACGCTTGCATTTTCCGCTGATAATATCGCGCCTTTTCAAAACTAAATTTCTTTGTTTTAATAACAACGCACGTAAATGTCCATTTTTCATAATTATTGTATTATTAATGCATTTCGATAACTCACGGAATATGTGCGATCGCACAGTGATAATAATCAGGAGGACATTAACGTTTCGATTATGAAACGCTTGTCAAACCAGATGACGCAACATACTGGACGCGACGGAACGAATATTCATGCAACGTTCATTGTGTGTTGATATTAGATTATCCAGAATGGAGATAACGTTGACGTTAGGTTGTGCGAAATGGAATCGAAGTCTAATGGCAAACTCGAAAAGTTGACAGAGGAAATTGTGTTACGTACGTTTCCACGGAAAAAGAGATATGCATCTTTCGTATAATAATTTATAACTGAAAAATTTGAAATATTTGAAATAATCTGAAGCTCATATAGAAGATGGAAAAATAATTACAAAAATTATAAAAACCGTACAGCTTGCTTTTTTCGCATATTTTTTTCAATACTATATATTTGAAAATATATTTATATATACATATACGTAAAATTTGAATAATGTATTATATTACATGTAGCAGAAAAATAGCAAGTTTTATTTATAATGTTTAAAATTGTATAAATGTTGATGAATATTGGCGTGCCGCGCGTCAAAATTTCTCTGACAAATGTCAAGCTGAAGCATCAAAATAGCTTTGTTGAATAGCACAGCTTCGTCTAAATGGGCACACTTGCGAAGACAATGCGAACCACGTCTAATATCCTGGCGACTATTGCCATGACATACTACAACAACGGGAGCTTTCGAAGATGCAGCTGCTGCACTGCACACCAAGTGCAACACAGCGGTCTCTTACATCCCGAAGGAAATCTGGACGACAATGATGCAGCAGTTTGTATCGAAAAACTGTGGAACAATCGCCATCCGTTCTACCGTAAAAATAATAATAGTAATAATAAAGAATTATTAATTTTGAAACAATTGTAAAAAAAAAAAAAAAAAAACAATTTGGAGCCTTAAGAAAATCTGTGTCTTAATTTTGATCTTGATAGAATTTTTAAATAAAAAAATGTATTTAAAAAATTATCTAAAAGTACTACTAAAGTTGACTGATAATGCATCTTCTGTCGTGAATTTCTGCACATTTTCTAATCGTTAATTAGAGAGGGTTGTATTACGTGCTTATATACCTAACGCATGCAGACGCATGCACTTTCATAATCTTAAAGGTGACTTTATTACAGCACTTATTGCGAATAATCGCGTTAACAGGGCCGATGCGCCGCTGCGCAGTTAATGCCATCGCTGTTGCTGTTATTGCTACGGCGCTCTGTTATCACTTCCTGACATTTCGCAGCCGCGACATTACAGCCGCCGTTAATCTTGCCAAACGAGCCCGCGGGAAATTGCAAAATTGCCGAGCGTCTCAATAAACACACGATTATTACAAACAAGAGCTATTTCGGCAACAAAAAGTAAATAAAGTCAAATATGAGATGAAGCAATTGTATCTCTAGAATATTAACTTTATAATGAGCATAAAAGATGTCATATATATATAAAATAAAATATGTTAAAATATGCGAATAAATATAATAACTGAAATTTATATCTAACTATCCTCTATACTTTCCTTTTAATTAATTAATTGGAAAATAAAGATTGCTAATTTTTTACTATTAGAAAATCCTACTAACATTTTATGTACTATTTATATTATGATTTCAAAATATTTCGCTGCAGTTATTTGTACATTTCTCTTCGGCTGTGTTTTATTATTATTACAAATATTTATATATACGTAGGTACTATATATAAAACATTTATGCAATTTTTGAATAGCGTTATTTGTATTTGGCTTCTTATTTTTACTTCTATTACGAGCGATATAAATCGAAAATTTGTTGAAAAGATAAATAAGCTAAGCTTTTGTACACGACGAAAGTTGCAAAATATATCACGACAAAAATCAACATTAAATGTGAATTTTGTTGCGAATATTCCTATTTCGTAATGTAATGTCTGTTTTTATGTACAGTGCGGTACAATGTAATATACATGTAAATATTTCATTCAACATTTTTAAAATCTCATGGATTTTCTCGAGCAAATTTTAATACCGTGTTTTTTCATCAAACAAAATAGTATTAAACAGAAAACGCACTTGGAAGTTTCTAATTCATAATTAACACGCTGCATCGTATGATAAATAACATGACACGCTACAACTCACACGTAATATTCAGAATTTTTAATAATGCAAATTTTTATCAAATGGAACGAACATATTTCACAAAGAATTACGTAATAGCAAATATTCCTCTTGCTTAAAAAATGTGAACGTTTTAAAAAAAAATTGTTTTATATAAATTAAAAAATTTGTTTAGCGAAAATATTATTAAATAAAATATTTGTATATGCATAAGATATAATATTTAAATAAATAAATATATATATATATAAATATTTTTAAATTTTTATTTCGTATTGAGGTAATTCGTTACTGATACCATTACGTATTTTTCCATTAAAACACGACATCTGCGCGTCGCGTAAAACATTTTCCCCTGGAGAATCCTTTCAATTAATCAAACCAGCCCTCTTTGTACTCGCGATATGCTACAATATTCATACTTCATCCGTCATTCTGTGAAGTTTTCCCGGTTGGAAGAATCACGAGAGGGCCAAGCCAGTCACGTTGCCAATATCGCCGTGACAGCCCGGCGGCCTCGTTTAATTTTTATTCTCAAAAGGCGAAGCACGTGGATTCACTACGAATAGGAAGGAGAGTGCCATTCGTGAAATCTTTATTGGAAGCTCGCTATTGAAGGATTAACAAGAACAGTAATCTTAAATTGAACTTTCACCGAAAAAGACGGCGCTATAAATAAAATCGTTATTCGATCTATTCTATATTATTGAGGTGCATTCTTCGAAATGCACACTCTTCTTTATATAATATTCATACTCAAAGTGGATTGGATAAAATAACAATTTAATGACAATTGACGCTTTATGTTTCTACAATAAAATAGTTATAATATATATATGATATGACTTTTTTCTGTATTTTGTGATTCATAATATTTTTTAAATTATATAATTAATATTATTATTATTTCTAAAAATTATAATACTACTTTATTTTTTATTACGATATATAAAAGGATCGCATATTTATCAAAGCTTGTTTATTTGTTTGTTTAGCTCTTGTTAATAATTTCTTTTCTTGCGCAATATCAATCATTATCTGATATTTTTATAACAGAATAGGAAATCATCAGAAATATTAATTTTATGAATATAAAAACAGGTCGAACTAAAATAGTCTATCTTCATAAAAAATAAATGAGTGACAAGGATTAAGCGTATACGATACAAAGTACGAGTATATCTCGTTCATTGACTTCTTGTCGCATATAAACCAAACAAATTTATCGCGCGAGGAATTAGACCATCACAAGATTTAATCTTTATCTCTTCGAAATGCATTTTTTATGTTGTGACGCGTATATCATTTACGCAGTTTAAATTTAAATAGCACGCATTGCTCTTTTATATCATTTCTATATCATTTCTATTTATTTGAAATTTTATATTTATCTGTTCGTTATGAAATTATAGTATAAATACGCTGGTCATAAAGTCAAAGTATAAATATAAAATAAAAGGCAACTCAGACACATTAACGCGTACACTCTTCGACCACCATATTAATATATGTATTACAAAAAACACATTATTTCAATTATTGCATTATTTTTGTAATTTTTATATAATCTTTCAATTTTTCTCAATTTTTATAATTTTTTTTAATTTGTTCTCTTTCGCAATTTTTAAAATTTCTTTCTTCTGTAAATTATATAATTTTAATATTAGCTTCAAAAACTGCACGAAAACGATACTTAAAAAAGGTATAACATAATTTTTTAAGAATAAAAAGTATGTTAAAAAAAATTAATAAAAATAAACAACTAAATCAATCTAATTTTTCGTAACGCGAACGATTAGCGAGTATTCACTTAAAAAAGCGTACTGGATCGTTTATCTTTAATTGTAAGTGCCGTTAAAAATCGATTTCGAAAATCGTATTAAACTGCAGATACATTACGCCATTATGTCAATTGGTACCTGCATCTCGTTTCAACCAATCAACTTACGCTCACTTTTCTCATTTACTGATAAATATGACCGCAAGATATTAAATTTCACGTTTCAAGGTTGAAAGTTGTATTCAATATTATAGATGATTGATAGTATTATGTAATATGTTTACTTTCATTTTTCAATTCTTAATATTCCAAATATTTTTAATATTCCTATAATGTTCAAGATTCTTGATTAAAAATTATTCCATTTATCATTAATATCCAAATCATTATATACTTTCCACCATCAATTTATAATGTAATGTTCATTACACTATAAATTGGCAATAGAAAGCAATGATTTGGATATTAATAATAAATATATATCGTAGTGATACTGATTATAAATGATATATAATCTTCATATTTTTCTTATGACAATAGACGTATGCCAATAAAATGCTACTACAAATAGTAGATTATACGATAGACAATCGCTTTAAAAACCCTTGAAAAATATCCATTATTTTGTCAATATCTATATTATTTCCCTATTTATTGCCGGATCAACCAAAAAATTCTCGTTCGCCTATCATTCAAACTCGCAATTTCCAAGTTTTCCCTAATGCCTCTCCTTCGTAAACTCGTCCCTTCCAACCGATCAAACTCAACTCACTCTTATGCTTGGAGCTGCTTTTCCACAAACCCCTGAAGAATGACATTCTAGCCCAGCGCAGCACCAGCAACTCCAATAGCTCCGAGATCTTCTCTCTCGTCACAATCTGCCTCGCCAGCTTTCTCCTGTTTGAAAGCTCGTCCCTCACTCACTTAAATCTCGTGAGAACAGTACAGTGCCACGCTCAAAACATGTGAAATCGAAATCGGAGCGATATGTGCCGAGCGTGTCACTACGAGTCACAATAAATCGCGGACTTCCGTCGTACTTCCGAGAAAGCTGAGACCAACAAAGCTCGAGACGGATAACAGCTGGGGAGCTCGTTTAGCGGGATCTTCGTCGAGAACACCCGCGAGAACGTGTTGCCGCGGTGGCAGCGCGCCGCGATATGAAGCGTCCGGAACGGTTTATAGCGGCGCTTCGCCCTTGCAAGCGAACATGCGCATCCCCATTCGTCCTTGCCCCGTCGCTTTCTCTCTCGCTCCCACCCTCTCTTATCCTCTCTCTCTCTCTCTCTCTCTTTCATGTTCTCTCCCACCGCCTGCCTGAATTCCGGTTCCGCTTCCGAACCGGGTCCCACACACGCCGAAAGGATATAAAGATTATTTTCACACGTTTCGCGACGACAAACCCATGACGAATAATATAGAGGAATCGAAGATTAGAATAAGGCTTTTTAAGGGATGAACGCAAGAATGAGAAAACTCAACCAAGGATCTACGAATTTTATACTATGATGAAATTTTTAGGTTGACGAGAATAAGAATAAAAAAAATATTCCCCGGAAATGACCATGAATTTTGCATTGAGATGAAAATTTTAAATTAAATTAAAAGTCGGCATGAAGAATATTTTTTTTATAGAAAAACATTTGGACTGTAACAAAATGTATTTTAAATCATATATACAAATGAAAAATATCATTAGAGAGTATTTGAATAATCACCGCAAATAAAAACCAATTTATATTAAGAATTTTGTGAGCTTATCAGATGATATTTAATATATAAGAGGCAAATTTAATATCGGATTAAACATCGCTAAAGTGGCTCTCGTCGTACGGGCTTGCGAAGCAATTTAGTATTCATTTCCACCGACGACATAGTCGCCAAGAAATTGATGCGTTGCTCGGGCACGTTCCAGAAACACGAGACGAAGGTCTCACCACCTAATTTTGTGGAAGATGCCCGTCCTAAACTTGTAGAAATTTCGGATAATCTCATAGAAGGTAATAACCCCCAGCAGCTTCAATATATTTACCATTTTTATGTTATCGCAGATTAAAGTTACAGTAATGAAAATCACGAAACGTCATTATCATTTTTTTTAATAAAAAGATACTTTGAAGCGAAAGTCGAATAATTTATGTCATAATAATACATGGTATAATAAAGTTTACAACTTTTACAGAATGTTTTTTCAGATTGCTGACATAATATTACAGTAAAAGAGATGAAAAAAAATTAAAAATTGTAACATCAAAAAGTTAAATGAGAAGTAAATATCTTATTACAATCTTTTATGTTTTTAATTCATTGTAAAATATATGAGTCGAGTTAAACCAAGTTTTCTTGTCGATTTTGGGTCGAGAGAATGAAAGAGATTTTCCAGTAAGCTCGGATAATTCTGTATTTGTCAGGAAAGCGAAATCGATCAGAAGAACTGATTTCGTACGATAAATGTTCCCCAAGTGTCGAAAATTTGCAGTTAACCCAAAATTATCAAGTATACGTGTTCAGAATCGGAATCTAAAATTTTAAATTAAATTCGACAATATATCAGGTGTTCGCGTACACTTCTCCGGTAGAAAAATACGAGAACACGAGATATCCATTCAATTATCGTGGGTCGTTATGCGTTCGTTAGTGCACAATTGACTTTAGACAGCAGTGGCTCAAATCGATTTCGCGTACGCTTGAAATTGCCAATCAATCGAGGGAAATCGGGGAAAACAACTGTCCACCCGCTGGGTAAATTACCTGCATCTATCAGCCGCATCGGATTACGGATTGAACTAACGCACCAGCGAAAACAGATCGTTACGAGATAATCGTACACTGAATAAAACGGTAATTTAAAAAAAAAGAAGATCAAGACAAAAAGAGAAATGCATTTATTATTATCGCATTAAGTTCGCGTGCGATATTGACTAGAAAATACAAATAAAAATAAATGCAAAATTCTAAAAATATAGATATAGAGAATGATTAAAATTTTTAAAAGTAATTTAGAGAGACAGGATTTTTTAATTTAAAAAATTGAAGGGAACTATATGTTACATTATGTTGTTAAATAAAAAGGAATGTTATTTATATCAGTAGAGTAGATTTTATTTAAATTTTGATTATATACTTTATTTAAAAAATTAGGAGGCACAATTAAAAAAGTTTTGGAATATTCTCTTTCTTTCTTTCACACGAGGAGGGTCCTCTGAAGCTGTCAAAATCGACAGAAACGGCCGATGGCGCAAAAATTCGCGACGCAAAAGAAACTCTGGAGCGGGAATAAACTGCTATGAAGATCCGAGCGAGATGATTGACGAGAGAAATTGGCACGAACGTTCTTTGGAAGCCGAGTTGCGAGTTTTTGCACGACCGGCTTAACAGACATGTCGCAAAATTTTGCTTGGGCTCGCATCTCTTCTCTCATACTGCGGTCAGTTCCTTTATGATCGCGATATAAATCACCAATTAAAACTAGCATAATGTGTTCAGATTTGAATGTTATAAAACCTGATCTCTTCAAATTTACTCGCAGTAATTAAAAAATATACATATATATATATATATATATATATATATAATATTGATGACACAAATATTGTAACTTTCTCTACACAATATTTTCGCTGAAAAAGGATCGACTATAAATGGATCAAAAAATATTATATAAAAAATAGCTGCTTTTGAAACATTCTGTACATAAAATCGAAAATAAATTGCATTGAAATTACCCGTTAAAACGGTTAAAATGCAAAAGAGATATGTGATTTATTCGGCCGATGTTTTTTCAGGCAGTATACGTGGAAAATATTGAAATGCGAAAATCGAGACCGACTATGAAATCGACCAGTGGCGAATATTTTTCATTTAATTTCGCGACGCGCAATTTTTGGAATAACGGACGGTATGCAAAAAAGAGACCCATGCAATCCTCAACGTCACAGCTGCTGTCTTTGCATCTCTCACGTATCTTCTTTCGCCCGTTTCTTCATTCCGTTCGTCGATTGGTGCTTCATCTTTTCCTCCTCTTACCGAGGCAGTTGGCATCGACAGGAATTCTGCATTTGACAATACTTGTCGAACACGTTTCGCGAAACAGGATGACGTTTTCCGTGACATATCGTAAATTCGTGTGCCGAGATAATTGAACGTTATGTATACGCGACTTTTAATATATTTTTATTCTCTTTATATCAAATGAATAAAGATCGAAATTTTATATAAAAAGATATCATAATATTCCCATATACATGTGCTCCTTTCTTAACAATCTTTCTAAAGAAATATAATGTAATATATACCTATGCTCGCATATGATACGTATATATGTGTATAGTATCGAGAAACTCTGATTTCACAATTTCCCTTCCGAACAATATAATTATATATCGATCGAGATATCTTTCATCGTCTCATATATGATACATTAGTTACTACTCCATTAACTTTCCAACGATACAACTGACACATCGTCGACAGCGAGTCAGTCCCAAGTTTGACACGTTCGCGAGGCACACCCACGACGCGCACACATCTACAAACATGTGCGGTTCGATACGTCGTCGTATACGGTCATCGGTCGTGCAACGCGGGACGAATTCCATTACGCACGATTATGCGGTATTATGCGTGACTCGGGGAGCATCGCTCTGTAATTTCGAGTCCTTCTCGCGGGATGCGAACGAGGCATTGTTATACGCGATCTTGCGCAAATCAGGAAATGCATTGATTAATGCGATGCAAATAGAATGTCGAATATTTCGTCAAATGTTTGTCAAACTTTGTGCGACGTATGGGAATAATTTGAGAGAGAAAAAACTACGGCGATATATGTGCAATATGTCAGGATTCGAAATTTGCACTCGCGTTTATTTGCGAAACATTTTGTATTGGAGGCTAATTCAGAACGCGAGAGTGGGTAAAATTAGTCATTTTTGAAACATTTATTTTAAATGTGAGAAGATAGCTATGTAGATATGTAAAATAAGAATATAGAAATAAAAGATTTAAAGTGTGATATTTAAAATACGACAAAATCACTACATTTCCAACAGAGATTTACGAATTATAGATTCATTGATTCCAATTCAAATGCTGTATTTATCACTCTATCTTCGATCCGCACAAAATAGCTGCTCCAATTTCAAGATATTGATCTATATATTATAGTGCATAAGCTCTATATAATAATATTTGCAATATTATTATGTAACAGAGATACACATGTTATATATATGTTGCTCAACGTAACCACAATTCATCAAATATCATTACTTAATTATTATTAATATAAATTATAACCAATTCCTAGAAAGAATATGATATGTTGTCATCATTATAAATAACTCTTACTGTTAAGAAATCTGCAAATTTATTTCGACTCGTTATCACGGAAGACAGTTGCAACGTTTCGATGCAAATTCGCTGCATACAATTGCTCGGATAATATATAAACCGTGAATAAATGCATCTTTTAAAAATACATCTTTTAGAAAAGCGCAACCAGCAGAAAGCGAGACGCGCGATATTTTAATTTAATGAATCTCGATTTCGCACGGTAAGCGGATCGACTTGAACGTTACTCGAGTTTTTATTAAAATTGTGCAAAAAAGTGCACAATTGCACGTTGCGTCGTTAATTGAAAGAACGTCTCGAAATCGGTTTTTCACGCTGCAGAAAAATTATTCTCGAATGTCATGTCTTACAAACGGCGCCGTGTATGCGGATAATTATAATGCCGACCAATTACAGTCGATTATATACAGTCGACTTATAGCCTGGTAAATGTATTCCGTTATAAAAGGGCATTGCGTAAGAAATCGCAGTAAAACATTCTATCGCGAGTACAAACGTGTAACACGAAAATGAGAGAGAGAGTTTAATCAATTATTCAATTTTCACTTAAGTTCTTGGAATAAAAATTTAAATAACGCTACAAAATAATTTTACTTGAATTATATTACCTTTCTAACAATTTAACAAACCACAAAAGCATTCAAAAGTCAAAGAGTTAAAGAGAAATTTTCGTACAAATATTAATTAATTTGTAAAAAAATTTAAACTATGTTGAATTATATAGTAAATATTAAATTATATTTAAAATATTCAATTTTATAAATGTAAAATATAAAATGACATTTTTAAATGCAGTTAAATATCATGAAAATGTGAAAGTTT